AACTAATGCTTCTGGAAATAAGTTAGTTCTAACGTTTAATCTAGCTTACCTACATTGTGTTTGTAACCGCCATAATGTATAAATGATATGAAAGAAAGTATCAAGTGGTCTTTTACCGACTCTCGCGTGGTTCCGTGTAATCTTTGATAGGCGAGAATCTGGTATAAATTATTTTTTTCTTGTAAAGCCAGACAAAAGCTTTCACCAAAATCGAAAAAAAAAATAATTATTTAGCTATTGTAATAGGATGATGTCGTACATAATTGTGATGATGAGATTACGTCATACATATTGACAGTTCTACCGATTGACTGAGACACCTCTTGCAAACATTGTACGACCAATTTAGGAATCGCAGACGTATTTGTTATTCTGTATTACTTGTAAAATCATAGACACAATTAATAAAAGACTATTGGATCCGCCCTGTCAAATTCTATTAGCAGAATCGCAGTAACATTTCCCAAACTTCCTTATTCGGATTCCATCGCAGGTTTATTTCTTAATTCAGGTTTGAGAGGAATTATTTTTTGAGCGTATTGGAAAGTGATAAAAAGGCATGTATGAAATGGGAAAAAATACTGCCAAAAGTGCCTCTAAGTCACCTGTTCATGCACGGAATATTCAATATAATCACTGCTTATAGCGACTTTGACTATTATATAAATCGGCATTATATAGTTCCATAGTTCAACAGTTGATTAGCACAAACATGCTTAAAAATATATATTATAAATATTAACTCCAATTCACACAATGGATCACAGGACTACAGAAATAGCGGTGTTCTAAAATTTCTTTCCTACAAAATGCATTTTATTCTTTGTACATGGACAGATGATTATGTCGATGTTGTGCGAATTGTATGTCATTGCATTTTTGCACAGCAACCAATGAAAATTCCAAAATTATCCACACGATAACATTTCAGATATATTTGCTTATGAGCTTTTTAAAACATGAAGCTTTTAGCATATCAGATACAAGTAAAGTCGATGACATTCATAGCTTTGATATTGCCTCAGAAACAGCGGGGGTGGGCGGTTGCGTGGGTAATGGGGATTCTTAGGGTTATCCAACTCCGTGCAGGGGAGATATTTTTTACTCTCATAGAGATTTTTGACAGTGAAACATCTTAATATTTCAAGAATTTCATTCGGATGATGGAAGAAACACGTATTCTCGGTCTAGTTTAGTGTAGAGAGGAGTGTTGGTGTGGAGTCTGGAGTGAGTATATAAAATATGTCAATCAAGGCAGCAAATTCAGCAGTTGTTTCATGGCCCCTGCTCGGCGGGACACCTGCAGCCCATTAAAATGGTAACTAATATTTTGTAGGAGGCCCGCTCAATGTCCTCCTACAAACTTAAAAGCCACTTTCTTTACAGAGGTTAATTCGGATAAATACAGCCCTTATTAATCCCACGATTTTTCCAATACTACAGTCTTTTCGAACCAGTTGCGTATTTATTGGTCATTCGCTTGTGAAGACATATCTGCCACAATGAATGCTGGTTTCCATTAAGATGTCAAGATTTCAATCCAGTCTTATCGGGCATTTAGAGGAAAAAGTACAGCTGGTGAGGGGTCAGTGCTTAGGAAACATACATACAACAAATACTGAAATAAAACAAATGAAAGCTCTCTAGAACAAATTTTATACATCTATTTTCGTTAATATAGTTTTGTTTTTGTCATTATAATTTTTATATAATAAAAACATAGGTATCAACTTGGTAATGGAATACTTTGTCTTGATATATTATAAAGCTTATTGTTATAAATGATCACATTTGTGTTCATGCACTAATACAAACGAAAAAAAATTGTAATACGAATTGATTGTCTGCCAGACCTTCTAAGATATACAAATTAGGAGACTGTACGAGAGATCAAAATGAAGAGACTGTACGAGAGATCAAAATGAAGAGACTGTACGAGATATTAGTCATTGCTGACAATATCAGGAAAAGGTTTTAACGTTTGCAATGTAAAATGTTTTAACGATTCTGAAACCATCGCGAAAATCAAGATAAGAATTCATATGGATCCAGAACGAAATGCCGGCAAGAAAATCAAAGAAAGTGAATGCAACTGAAGCTCAGAGATCCTCTTATTCCATATACCTCATATGTAGTGAATACAATGACACTCACGGTTCCTTTCTTATAGTCCATATACCTCATGTTATTGAACGTAACCGACGCTCACTGTTCCTTTCTTATATTCCATATACCTTATGTTATTGAACGTAACCGACGCTCACTGTTCCTTTCTTATATTCAATATACCTCATATGTATTGAATGCAAATAACGCTCACTGTTCCTTTCTCATATTCCATATACATCTTAGGTATTGAATGCAAATGACGCTCACTGTTCCTTTTCCATATTCCATATACCTCATGTTACTGAACGCAAAGACACTCACTGTTCTTTTCTCATGTTCCATAGGGAACCATAAGTGACCGAGTGGTCTAAAGCACTCTTCGTTACGGATCACTGCCATCTCACCTCTGTCTGCGTGGGTTCGAGTCTAAGATTCGGGGAATGTGGACATGTGAGAAAGCATGCTAGTTGCTTCTCGTGAGTCGGTGGTTCTTTCCGCGGATTTCCCGGTTTCTTCCTCCACAATTAATACTAGCCGCCATGTATAGCTTATCGTGCGCTGAAAAATGACGTTAAGCCCCAGAATAAGAACAAGAATTTATATTCCAGTATACCTCATAGATATTGAATGAAAATGACGCTCACTGTTCCTTTCTCATACTCCATATACCTCTTGTTATTATCATACTCAGACTAGTATAATTCGGCTGAAATTAAATTCTTCTTATTACATAAATATCAGTATAGGGTAAAGAATACAGAATTCAGTATAAGTGTCGTCTAAAGAAACATAGATGGTAAACGATGCATTTGCTTATAGATCTTCAGATGTTTCATGACGATCAAACGGTACCACAGCTATTTGCTTGCCCAATCCCTATTTGTTTTGTTATGTATGTATTTTAATAGATATAGAACAAAGAACTTGACATATTACATCGCAGCTGTTACAATGTTACAGAAAAGTTCTGTTGAGCAACAACAACAACAAATAATAATAATAATAATAATAATAATAACAATAATAACAATTAATAATAATAATAATAATAATAATAATAATAATAATAATAATAATAATAACAATAATAATAATAAAAATAACAACTACTACAGTAACATTAGATTATATAAAGCGATCTGCATTTGCACTAAAACCTTGATAGTTTAAAATCCAGCTATAGACTATAAAATTATTGTCTAGAAAGACATTATATAAAATTATGACCCATCTCTCTCTCTCTCTCTCTCTCTCTCTCTCTCTCTCTCTCTCTCTCTCTCTCTCTCTCTCTCTCTCTCTCTCTCTCTCTCTCTCTCTCTCTCTCTCTCTCTCTCTCTCTGGCAGACGATTATATGCATTTCTTCAAGAATAAAACGTATCACAACTTTATATTACCTAAATGTTTCAGCATATTGTAGATGGTAGTGATTGTTGTAGCCGAAACAGAGATATAGCCCAGCAGTGAATTATATTATAACCGAGAGAGAGAGAGAGAGAGAGAGAGAGAGAGAGAGAGAGAGAGAGAGAGAGAGAGAGAGAGAGAGAGAGAGAGAGAGAGAGAGAGAGAGAGAGCTGGTGGGAATTCGTTCTTTTTTGAAGAGAGTACTGTAAATACTTCACCGCGTTTGACTTCACAGAACCATTGTGTTTGTAATTTTATCGATAAATCTGATGTTAGTTGATTACATTCTGTTTCATTTTAATTTGCATTTTCAAGGGGATATAGACCTACCTCCTCAATATTTTCCAGTGACAAAACCATTGCTCATTTATTTTCTTTATATTGATGTCAGAGTGATAAATGCAATTCAAAATGTTCATTTTATTTATTTTATATTTCTTTCTGACATTCCCACAGCTGTTTATGTCTGTTAGGGAAATGTGAGATTCTGCAGTACAGATAACAGTACATGACAAGTTAAAACGTTAAAAGAAGACAGATGAATTATGTTAAATCCAACGATGAAGTTTTTAACTATACATTTCTCTGCTGTCTACTCTTAATAAAATAATCCCGGGATTGAAATCTATCAAACGACCAGTCTGCAAAGGTTGTGTGTATCTTCGATGAACACTTGAATTATGTTCACGTGGTATGTGCATAACGAGACCTCTTAATTCGATTCTAATAGAAGGAACTTGTTATTGATTAAATGCCTTAATTTCAAAGTCAGTTAAGATAAAAGGACATTTTTAAAAAAATATTTACGATGTAAAATCGTATTCAAGCATTTGTTGACGTAGGCGTTATACTGGCTCAAAGGCATAGGTTTGCCAAGGATATATGTGAGAGAGAGAGAGAGAGAGAGAGAGAGAGAGAGAGAGAGAGAGAGAGAGAGAGAGAGAGAGAGAGAGAGAGAGAGAGAGAGAGAGAGACTTTTTTGTACAAAGTTTCGATAGTTTGTGTCCCAAACGAATGCAAGTAAACCCAGTGTCAACATACATAATTTCCTTCATTATCTAACCAGTTCTTAATTATATAAGTAAGCAAAAGTCACTTCTGAATTTTCTACCCTTTGTTTCTATAAGTCCAACTTTAGTTTTTGTGAGATAGTTGCAAATGTTAAATATGGGAATGTGTGTGTGTAGTTTACCACATATTACAGTTTACTTGCATAACAACAAAATATGAAAACAATATTTCAGTCTTGAATAACGTGTCTACGTGAAAATTTAAATACTTTTTAAATTGTCCAAACTGACTGCGAAATACAAAATCCTCAAATATAATATATTTTAGAAATTATCTTAAGAATGCACTCTCTGCTGTTTATCTATTAATGGCAAAATACCACTAGCGTGAAAATATATTTAGTTCACAACAAACATTTCATTATTTAGTCAATAAAATGTTATTTCTTCTGCGATTCACCAGTCTAATACTAAAAATCGCTCCGGTGGCCTAGTGGTTAGATCTTCCACCTCAGATGCGGGAGGTCATGGGTTCGATCCCCGGTCGAATCATACCAAAGACTTACAAAAACGGTACTAACAGCTGCCTCGCTTGGCGATCAGCACTAAGATGTTAGCGTTAGGACTGGTTGGCCTGGTTTCAGGATAATGTGACTAGGTGGGACATCATGCTGCATGTCTGCGGCATGATGGCCCAGTTCTAAACATCACTATAATCTGCCACACTGCAGACATCATAGCGATATGACTAAAAACTTGTTAAAGCTACGTTAAATATCATAGTCACATCACATTACCAGTCTAATACCACTGATCCACTATTTTTATGAAACACACTGATCATGAATTTACTCTACATACCCAAAGTCTGATAAATACATAGCGTTAACTTATTCATATTTGATATGTTTCCTTAATATTTATGTTTTGTAACGGACACTCTGGATACATTCATTACTTCATCATATCTTTGAAATAGTCAAAATATGTGCCAAGTTTTGACACAATTAACAACCACGTACACAGAGTTGACAATTTCTATTAGACCAGAAACGAAATATGATATGGATAGTTATGATTTTTTTGATGCATAGAAAACACTAAGAGCAAAGATTCTTAATTCCAAATGCATTTTGCTTCAATGGTAAAATTTCTAGAATTGAAGAAATCCGTTGCACATAATATTTCTTGAAATGATTTTAGATAACGAAATGTTTCTCGTCAAGTCGGGATTTGTCTCTTAATGCAATAAACTTAATTTCACACATCACTTCTTGAATTAATCGAAATGTTAATGTATTGATAGAGCAACCTTTAAAAGCTCAAAGAGAATGACGAGAATCAGTCTGTACTCATTCTTATCTATTCAAATTTTGTTGTTAAATTTCGGAAATGAACCAATCGAACATACCTTTGCGCACTTGTTTAGGTTTAATACGCTATCATTTGATTTCCGCAGTATCACATCAATGCAAATGTATTTCAATTTTGACAGATTTAACTTTCAAAATTACTTTTTGAATATTATGTTTTCGTTATGACATATTAGTTGAACTTCACTGTATTTTATTATTAAGAGGCCATGGAGCTGCAAACAAGTAAAGAGTATGGAAATCTACAAATTTAAAACACGCTGCTATATGAATAGGTGAGAAAATCATTAGATGGTGTAGGAAATTAAAAACCTTTTCAGCAAATAATTGTATTAGATATTCTGCTGTTGTAATCATATCCACTACTGAGGTTAGTGCTGCAGAAAGTTTCGCACAACTGGAGTTCTAATCAAAAGCTGAAAATATTTCATGACACGGCACGAATGTCAGTTCTGAAATAATTACAAATATTTCATCAAAACACGAATCCATGGCAGGAGATAATTGATCAACGTTATTGAAAACAATGAAACAAAGTTTTCTCTGTAAATAACAAAGTATTTTTATCATTTTGGTACACTCCAAATGTCATCAAATGTATGACGGTCTGACTAAACTCAATCCAACATGTCGACAATACGTTTTAATAATACCAATTATTAAAATAAAAAATATATTGCTTAGTTATGATTGGTTCACACGTAAGATACATTGGAGAAAGATTTGAAGCAGTCAACATATGCTCACGTCAGTTCCATTTTAACAAGAAAATGAGATTAGGGGCATTTTCCAATGGGGATAGCATACCATTACAATTTACATGAGATTTGGGACATTCTAATGGGTATAGCATACCATTACAATCTACATGACATTGGGCATTATAATGGATATAGCATACCATTACAATTTACATGAGATTGGTGACTTTCTAATGGGTATAACATACCATTAGAATTTACATGAGACTGGGGACATTATAATGGGTATAGCATACCATTAAATTTATATGAGGTTAGGGACACTCTAATGGGCATAGCATGCAATTACAATTTACATGAGATTGGGGATATTCCAATGGGTATAGCATACCATTACAATCTACATGAGATTGGGCATTATATTGGATATAGCATACCATTACAATTTACATGAGATTGGTGACATTCCAATAGGAATAGCATACCATCACAATTTACATGAGATATGGGACATTCTAATGGGTATAGCATACCATTACAATCTTCATGAGATTTTGGGATATTCCAATGGGGATAGCATACCATTACACTTTACACGAGATTGGGGACATTCTAATGGGGATTTCATACCATTACAATTTACATGAGATTAGGGTCATTTGAATGGGTATAGCATGCCATTAGATTTTAAATGAGATTGGAGACATATTACAGAGTGTATATCATACCATCACAATTTACATGAAATTGGTGACATATTCCGGTGGGCATAGCATGCCATTAAAGTTTTAAGAAGTTTAGGGATTGGGGATGTATTCTAACAGATATAGCATGGCATTATCATTGTAATTAAAAGAGATTGGGAACATGTTCCAATGGGTATATCATAAAATCAATAGTGTTAATGACTTTCGGGAAGCCATTAATGTTGGTACAGCATACTGACTGTTTAAACTTTTAATGAAATAGTGGGTATATTCCTAATTATATCATTAATTGTTCTAATGCATGATCTAATCTACTACCAAACTCAATGGTATGTGAAAATCGGTTGTTAGCATCAAATACAAACATATGGAGAACACGAGATAAAGGAACTACAAGTATGCAAGAACACCAGTATGGGGATGTAAGGTAATCTTTAAGTCATACTTGAAACTGTGAATCAGATATTTTTACCTCGGAAGAATTAGATATCCATGTTCTGTATTACGAGAGGCAGTAAGAGCTTTAGTATGTTTGCATCATTTGTCAGCTTGTTTCTAATTCAAGAGGCAAAATAGTTTCTTTTAATATCGTAATGCTTGGATAAGAATATATATATTTCTGCCTCATTCGTTGTAAACAGCACGTTACTGTCAGTAATTTGGACTATAATAAAACAATTATGTGCTTATCTAACTCCACAATATTACCACGTTGTCTTTCTACAAAAAAACCTCCTCCACCACTACCCCCCCTCTCTCTCTCTCTCTCTCTCTCTCTCTCTCTCTCTCTCTCTCTCTCTCTCTCTCTCTCTCTCTCTGGCTGCAAAGAATGTTTAAGTAGAGCAACCGTAATGGCTTGCCATTACAAAATTTAATTCATAATAATCTATGCTCATGTATAAATATATATAAATATAAATATATAATAGTTCAGATTATTTAATTAGGAAGGGATATAACGTTCTGCATAATAGATAACACTGATATGTTGACATCAATATTAGACGACAATAATATGTTGACATCAATCCTGTGAAAACATTGTAATAATATGGTCCTCGTTCAAAGTCATTTTTAAATGTTGGGAGATATTTTAGCGCGAAAAAGTTATAAGCATCAAACGATTATCATAAAACTAATTATGCGCACTTGTAAATCAATCATTACGTATTCAGAAATCCAGATTCGTCAATGAATTATTTCAGATACTTTGTTTGATAGATGCATTTAGGGTGGCATCAGACATGCTTTCTTTCCTCTATTTGGCTTTATGGTATGTTAATTAAATGTTCTTAAAACAGTTCTGGCAAGTTTGGATACATTTTTTCTTTTCAAGGTTAGTATGATATATCAACCCAAAGAATGTATTCATTATGTGGTGCTAGTGCTGCTACTTTTATGTTAACCGTGATCCCACTGAAAGAAGGAACTCACTAAAGGAATTGCATGCCACAGATTTCTCTCACTCATTCACTTGCGCGAGTTTTCATATCAAAGATTCTTCATAGGCCGTATAATATCGTATTATTCACATCAAGTAGTTGGGCAGATTGTCTATATTTCTCTGCCAATAAGCTTTTTTTCTGGAACATTCCGTCACATTTTTGCGGTCCACTTTCACATGGAGACAGCCTTTCATTTAAATTACTGTCTTATTGAAAATGAACTTTATCATATGCGAACATTAAAAGAGAGGGAAAAACTAAGAAATATATTCAAGTCATGTAAAATTTTGTAGTTTCAACGTTTTCTCTTTGCTTTTACTGCTTCTTTTGTTCATGGTATTGTGTTTCACATTGCAAAAGTAACGACGATGGCAGAAAAGGGCTTAGCTTAGTTAAAAACTTGTCTTGCAATATTCGTTATCAGAATGTTGCATTAACTTAATCTATTCCTGTCGGATGCTGGACCTAATTTATCCAAAAGGACTGGTAATAGCTAAATGATCTGTTATATATATATATATATATATATATATATATATATATATATATATATATATATATATATATATATATATATATATATATATATATATATATATATATATATATATATACATGCACCCATATATTCATATGCATATGTGCATGCACGAACATACATACATACATACATACATACATACATACATACATACATACATACATACATACATACATACATACATACATACATACATGCATGCATGCATGCATGCATGCATGCATGCATGCATGCATGCATGCATGCATGCATGCATACATACATACATACATACATACATACATACATACATACATACATACATACATACATACATACATACATACATACATACATACATACAGACAGACAGACAGACAGACAGACAGACAGACAGACAGACAGACAGACAGACAATCGACATTGTATTCTGTGCGTGTATTGTAGTTGCACATTTTTTTCTCATAATTTTGTCAACAAATTTAGCAAGACGTCTCAATGAGCAAGTTCTAGAAAAAAAAAAGACTTAACTTCATTGTATTAGGACTACTACAAAAATACGATTGTAAGAATTTAAATATTTCTTTGGACAATAAAGAACAGTCACGGAAATAGCGGAATTCGTCACCTATGTCGTCCATGTGGTAAACTTTGCATTTTCTGTCTTATCTTAGTATGTTTTTCTAAAATGCTGATTCATCTGAAAGTTCTAAGATTCATCAGAGGCAAATAAACAGTTCATTTCAAAGATACATGTCTCGTTTGAATACTTTGTAGGACATTTTTTCGATATAACATTTAGTACT